TCACCAGTTGAGGTGGCTCAGGCATTTGGTCAGGATGCCTCCTGAAAGCCACCTGGCGCTCTGGGCACATCCCACCGGGTGTGAGCCCTGGGGAAGACCCAGAACATGCTGGAGGGACGATATTTCTTGGCTGGCCTGGGAACGCCTTGGGATTACCTTGGAAGAGCTGGAACAAGTGGCTGGGGAGAGGGAAGTCTGGGCCTCCCTTCTTAAGCTGCTGCCCCCGCGACCCGACCCCGGGTAAGCAGAAGAAAATGGCTGGATGGATGGACAGACAGAATTTGGAGTTGTGCTGGAACTCTGAAATGTAGAGTGAAAATTATTATCACAGTCACAAAATATTGTGATAAAATTCTAAATCCATATTGCCTACCCCAGTTGCAAAATTTGTTGTGATTGTGTTTTGTTGGTTTGGCATATCTCGTCGGTATAGCACAGTGGTTCCCAAACTTTTTCTCCTGGGCCCCCCTATGGATTACAAATCGGGAGAGTTGGACTCCTGCTGTCTAGTTGAACAATGTGTGTGAACAGGGGGGACTTCCGGTTATACGATGTGTGTCAAACTCAAACACTCCCCTCCCCAGCCCCCCAGTGCACACAGCTTTCATATTGTTTTTTGTTGGGGGTTTTTTCCATTCATCCATACCGCTTCCTGCGTCCCTCCTGCAATGGCACAGCGCCCTCCCTAGGAGGTGCGCCCCACAGTTTGGGAACCTCTGGTATAGCATATAGTGTTGTCTACTAGTTTAGAATACTTTATCAAATGGTATAGTTATGAATACTGTTTTGATAGGTGGAACACATGGAAATAATACAGTTTGTGAAGAGGCATGCTGATTATATTACAATGATGTTTGATACTTAAATGTGCAGTACCTAAGGTTATGTCATTTTGATGAGTAACCATCAGGACACTGACCTTACTGTTTTCATGGTTTTCTAACAGGGTTTTCAATCAGTTGAGAGTCAAGTCAACCGAAGTTAGAGTGAGCAATATCATCATTATTTTTATTATTACAATAGTACCACAAAATACTGTGATAAAATTCTGATTAAAAAACAAACAAACTGATACCTCTTTTAGGTAATTGTATGTCTGTGAATGCATGGCACAGCATTCATTGTACCCCAATATTCCAATTGCAAATGGGCTTCTCAGGACACCATACTTAAGTGTTATTTCTAAATTGCTCAAAGTAACTGCATTTAATCATATTTTCAAACTTAATGATATTTTTTATGTTCTTGTGGAACATAAAAATAGTAAAAGACTCTTCCAATAATATCAGTTTTTTAAAACATAAATAGAAATGTACTGAAACAATCATGAATCAAATTGTCTTGTAATAAGGAATTGTTAGGAAATCGAATTCAAAATGTTTAAGAAGAGTTAAAGATGAAAATTTGTAAAATGTGGCTTCTTTTAAATTTACTAAAACTTATGCTTTCTTTTGCTGCTTTGACTTCTCAGTAAGCTGCACGGCTTTCTGTACATCACCCTCTCATTACCACTAGGATGCCGAGGATAGGGTGGCATCCTGTTGCTACTTTGTTGGTTGGGAGTTGATTCTTCAGTCAAAAACAATCTGAATCTGTCTGAAGTCCAAAAATCAGACAACTCTTCACCTTTCTGTTTTCTTTTATAGGTCTACTGGGCTGCTTCTAAACAGCAAAGTAGAAACGAAAAAGTGGAAGGAAGAAAAGATGGATTCCATCTCTATGAAAGGGTGCACAAGGAGCCCTGTGTTCCTCACAGCTTCTTCCTCACACTTCAGCCACCCACCAGCTTGTATGTTCCACTGCAACAAACCTGCAGATTCAGGACCTTCCTGCCTTGCCCCGACCACAGTGGCTGTCCTTGGGTCAGGTGACTTCTCCAAGAGCATCACCATTCGCTTACTTCGTTGTGGCTTCAAGGTGGTGATAGGCAGCCGCCGTCCCAAACTGGCCTCTCATTTCTTCCCACATGTGGTTGACGTGTCACACTATGAGGATGCCATCAAGAAATCTAACATTCTGTTCTTGGCTATCCATCGAGAACACTACTCGGTGTTATGGGACCTCAAGCATCTCTTGGCAGGTAGTAATCCACCTACACTCAAATTTAATTTTTATCTGGGGCGTGAAAATTAGCACGAGTCACTTTTTATTTGATGAAATACAATCCAGATGTCAAACTCAGTCTGTACATGGGGAATAATCAATAAATTATGTACAAAGCAGTGTAGCAGTCAATTCTACTTCTATGTAGATGTAGACAGTCATTCATGTACATATACACTGTATATGTGGTGCAAAATTTTGTTGCAAAGCTGTAATAATAATAAAGTATCAATATAAATGTATACAATAAAAATATTAATAGGAATTTAATAGTCTTATGGCATGAGGGGTGAAGCTGTTGTGGAATCTGGTTGTTCTGCATTTGAAGATGCTGAATCTTTTACCAGAGAGCAACAGGAACAAGAAACCATGCTGAGGGTGGAAGGATCTGCTATAATCACCCGAGCCCTGGACAGGCAGCAACTGTGAGCGGTGTCAAGGATGAAAGGAAACTCAGTCCTGGTGATTCTCTCAGTCTGGTGGAGGGAAAGCATTACATGCTCCAAACCAGACAGAGATGCTGCTGGTCTATTGTCCCTGTGTAGAAAGTGGTGAGGATGGGAAGGAAGAGGTCTGTTCTGCTCACCTGACATAAAAAGTGCAGATGTTGCTGAGTTTTCTTCACCAGACCAGAGGCTTGGAAGGGACCAGGACAAAGTGTCAGTGATCTGTATCGCCTGACCTGCAGCACCACTGATGAGGAGGGGTGTGTGACTTAGTTGATTTTACAAGAAATCAACAACAATTTATTTTTTGTTGATGTTCAAGATTAGATTGTTTGCATTACATTAGCACACCAGATGTTTCACCTCCTCTCTGTAGGCCAGTTTGTTGTCCCTGATGAGATATTCCACTGTTGTATCATCCACATATTTAATGATGTGATTCATACTGACCGTGGCATGGCATTCATGAGTCATCAGGGTGAAGAGCAGTGGGCTCAGTACAGTCAGTGCTGAGGGAGCTGACCCTTGAGGCATTTTAACAGATTTGGGTTTGTCAGGAAATCCAGCAGGGGGCTCAAGGGAAGCTAGTTTGCTCACAAGGTATTTGTGTTGAATGCTGAGCTGAAGT